CCCAGTATAAAGTGGTATTTCACAAATAAAAGGTTATATTGCTTCTTTTTATTGGAATGTACAATATGGCACATGTTTGAAAGAGCCACATTATTTTTCAGGAGCACTATACTGCTTTGATTAAGACACTAAGAGTCCTAAAGTGACAGGAAAATGCTTGCAAGTAAATCTGCTGGTTTTTTTCCCCCCTCTTCTATTCCTCTTCCCCAAAGTCTAGGGAGATGTCCTTTTTTCTAGTTTGTGGTTGTTTAATCATGTCATCCCTGGATGTCAGATGCGTCACCAGAAGCAAAAGTAGACACCAAAAGAGATGCATTGTCACAGACCTGTGAGATGTCACACCAAAAGTCTTCACAGTTTAAACAAAGTCTATATCTGGAGCTGTATCTGAGCAAAGATGGTTTTAAATTTATAAAATCCTACACTCTCTGTCTATAAAATCGGGATCAAAAGGAGCTTTGGGGGGTTTAAGTCTGCACCAACAAAGAAAGATCAAAGAACTATGTGTGTTTGGGAACAGTGACACGTTTGCATCCTATGCTGGAATACAATGCAAATGGTGTCTTTAACTCATTTTATCTCCATCACAGGACTCCAGTTAGAGCCGCTGAATTCAGTGGCTTTTTGGTCTTTAAAAGGATGTTTACGAAGTTTCAAATCAGTTGCACCAGGTGAAGATGGCTGCCCAGGTATTACAGAGGCAGGTCTTAAACACTGGTTACAATGCACAAGAAAGCAAGTTCACTCCCACTAGTCTGCCTAAGGAAGAAGGTATTTTTCTGGGTCTGTTAAAACAACTATCCTGGAGTCTGGGAACTTTTACAGGAATCACTGTGGCAGGCACAGTTACATTGGCTATGCTATCCCAAATAAATAAATTCTTTTCACACTGACACTTAGTGTAACTTGAACTACATAAACACTGGAAATGAAGGGTTGCAGTTTTCACACAGAACATTCATCTCACCTAGGCTTCCTTTCTCATCTAGGCTCCATTTCCCACAAAAGGTTGGACCAGATGATCTTCCAAGGTGCCCTCCAACATGGGCTGTTCTAGGGTTCTATGAACCTGAGAGAACAGAAGGCACCTCCCCAACCTAACCTCATGACTGATCTTTTCAGTTGGTCACATTAAATGTTCACTGTAATACCAGACACTCATAGCAAACCACGAAGTAAAAGGTAGTGTAAAAAAGCAAATGCAGCATATTGAAGAAAAGTCCACTCTGTAGCAAGCCAGGAATTTCCAAGTTCTTCAAGGCTGGTCACTGATTTGCTATGAAAACAGCACTGGCCAATTATTCCCCATATCAAATAAGACTTTAGCATCTGGAACATGAAGAAGAGCTACTTACTGGTTTGGGATTGACTTCAGTAGAGATGAGTTTTAAAAGGCAGTTTAGGAGTCTCTGCTTGTGAAAGGTGGTACACGTAGGAACAGCACTTGACTCAGATGTTTGTTCCCTAGCATCCTGGGTTTCTGGCTCCAAGACAGCCAACCAGTCATATTCCAGCTGCAACTTGTTCGGTTTGCCCATCATGAGGTAGACTTCAGCCAGCGTAAGGCTCTCAGAAGTTCGCAGGCTCCATCCTTCTTCTCTAACCTGTTGAGAGAGCCGGCTTGGGTCATCCTTGAGAGACTTTGTACTAGATTGTCCCTGAGGTGGAGGTGGAAACGAGGAGCCCAGCTTCTCTTGAGAATCCTCCATTGCTGCATCTGTTGTATCCTTGGTACAAGCATCAAGCTGCTGGCCCTGGCTGTGGCTGGCCTGAGTTTCACATCTAGATGGGCCACTGCTAGGTGAAGCCACACCACCCCTCAGTAGCTGTGAATAGGAGTCAGATGTCTCTGTGCTCCTCCCGCTTGGAAAAGCCACAGGAGAAGTATCACCAGCTGCTGGAGTAGAGTCTTTCCCATGCAGTTTGTCTGTGCAAGAACATTTCTCTGGGACAATCAGGTCCTGACAGGACTTCATGTACCGTGGGAATGGATCGAGCAGAGAGAGCTCCTCCACATCAGGGATCTTACTGCAAGCACAAGCTGTGCTGCACGATGGTAGCACAGTTGCCTGGTCACTAGCCAGGGCCTCCCTGCCCTCCACACAGAAGGCCACTGAGCTCAGCTTTTCGTGGTTCCCTCCTGGATCTTGAAGTCCAGAAGGAGGTTTTTGGAGAGAATTAGTGATGCCAAGATTTGAGGCTGTTCCTTCCACCAGGCCAGCCTCTGGGGTGCCATCTTCAGTGCTTGCAGAAACTTCAGCTGGGGGCTGAGAGGTTCTGCTTGACTCTGTAGTGCTCTCTACCCTTCCAACACCCTTACCTTCTGTTCCCCTTGTGTATTTTAGCTGTCCCCTAGCTGTCCCCTGACCGCTCTGTATGCCTAAGATCTGTGCAGGGGGTAGTAAGTGAGTGTCTTTTGTGTTCTGTTTGCATTTGCCAGTTTCCTGCCAATGCACTGTGCAGAAAGCCTTGGAGTGGACCACCCTGGCTACCCCAGGCAGCGGAGTGAGTGTACAATTCTCTCCTGGAAAGAGATGGAGCATCACTTTCTCCTCTGAGAAGCTGCCTCTTGTTTCTGAGTCTCTGGAGTCTTGAAGCTGCCGTTCTTCTAGTGTTTTACGCTAAAAAAAAGGTGTGTTAAAGAATACAACAATCATCTGCCCCTCGTAGTCTATTCCGCAAGTTAATAAAAAGAAAAAAGTAGCTGATCAAAGACATGTTCTTTATTCAGCAGAGATATGAAGACTTTATGATCAGAAATTAAGTCCTTTTGTGGTGATTAGGACTACACTGAAGTCCTGCTACAAGCACAAACTACATCTCTGGTCCAGACAAAATTACTTATCTCTGCTTCACACATCACTGTAATTGTAAAAAACCCAAGCAACCAACAAACAGCAACAAAACCAAGCAAAAGCCCCCAACATCACTGCAAAGCAGTCCCCTTTCTGCGCAGTAATCTCCATCCTACATGTTCTGACATCCTTTTAAGTTTCAAGTGCTATGCTGCTACATCTTCCAGGCCCACAAATTAAAAAAAAAAAGCCTGAATTAAAGGACTAAGAACAGGACACAGCATACCAGTCAACAGGAGAACAGAATGGCTGCTAACTCGCAGATCCTTCTGCTCCATGGATCAAAGTTCAGAGGTAGGGATATCCCTAATGCTGCATGGCTCAGACAGCATACAGATACCTAACAGGTAGCAGCAGATGCCTCGACAAGAAACTTAAGCCTTCATTTGGTAAAATTCCACAAAGCAAGCAGAAAGATCTGTCCCTAATCTCTTTGCTGAAACTGAAACAAAATCATCAGTTATTATCCAGGCTTCTACGGTGGTCACCCATCCACAATGAACAGACTGAGCGCACTGTTCAAGGAAATGAAATAAAGGCAGGGAGCTTCATTTATTACTAACTAGCTTTTCAGGGGATCACAGTAGAGAAGAGTTGAGGTAAAAGTGGAATACTACGGCATTTCCTATGAAAGGCTCCATTAGTGATGCTGACATACTGACCTCTACCTTTACTAAGCATGCGTTGGAAAGTTTATGAGGTAGAATCACATTTCCGACGCAGAAATGAACTTGGAAGGGAATTGCTCCCAGGACACAGCACACAGAACAGACTAAGCAGAAAAAGGATACAATACGCACTTCATGGAGAGCCCACTTCTGCTTCAGGAACTCGATGAGGCTGGAGACCTTCCGATGTAACTCCACAATCATCCTGTATGCAAGATAAACAAAGCAAGGGAACAGAGAAGAAGTGTCAGCAGAAGTTCAAATCACAGCCTTGATGCTAGAATGGGAATTAAGGGACTGTACTAGCATTCTGTAATACAAGCACAGAGAAAACACCTACCACTCCCAAGCTCTAAGAAAAGAACCAAGAAAAACAAAAGCATGTTACCCCACAACTTTAAAGTCTAGATAACTCACAACTGAGAAAGATCTCAAAGCCTATCAGATAAATCTTACTGCCATGATTCAAGATGCTCATTTCTCAAGAAAGAAGAAAAAGATAGGAAAAGATGGCAAGATTCAGCTAAACTGCAGGCAAGGCACGAAGCTACCACGTGAAGCATAGAACGAAAAAGGGGCACAACCCCCCAAACATTTACTTTTTGCTCTTGAAGCATTTTACAAAATAAACGTAATACTACCAAAAAAAAAAAAAAAAAAATCTATCTTCATTTTCCTCTCTGCCTGATCTTGGGTCATTATACTCAAGTACTCTACTTGAAAGAACAATCCACATCACAGAGGCCTTATGTTTTCTGCCCTGAGTTTTGGACTAGATGTAAGTACGAGCAGCCACTGATGACACTGAAACGATAGCACCAACTACACTTTACAGGGAGGAGATCAAGCTACAAATACCTTCCTCTCTGCTAGTATCATTGTGTTGCAGTTGACATGTTCAGAGCCTTGGTGCAGGCACTTCTGACTATCATTTTACTTCCCTCCCCTGTACCTCTGTCTCATGGTACATTTAATACAAATCTGAGTATAACTGGTGTTGTGTGTCTCCATTTTACTTGCACTCTGCTCTGACAACTGGGTGTAAGTGGCACAAAGTATATTCATCTCCAACTCTAGTAGCCCCTATCATTACTCAAATTAAAAGATATAAAGAACAACGGTAAGCTGATTTTCGAGGCTGATATCTCACGTTTACAACAATTGTACTCTGTTTGAACAAAGCCTTCAGAATAAGTTTAGGCAAACTGCATTATCAAAAATGAACCGTCCAGTTGGCAAAGAGAACCCAGGAGAGAGAAGATGCTAGAATGCTGGTCATACATTTCCCTATTCTATTCTGAGCACCATAATCAGTTCTTCATTACCTAAGCCGTGGATTCTGGGCAAGACTCTGTACCCGAGCCCATGCATGGTTATTTCGTGGCTGCAACTCCACAGGGACCTTGAGAGGAAGACGTACTGGCTTCTGGTCCTCTTCATCACTAACACCTGAAGGGAGATGAAGCACAAAAGGCATGGGTCAAAGCAAGGACAACGCAGAACACTATGCTCAGTTACATGAAAAAAAGCACCACAGACATCAGCATCACCTACAGACAACTTAGGCAGCTCAGCTTCACCAGTGGAGCCTGCTTCCTTAGATTACCTCCTGTTCCAATATGTTTATTTTTTTCCTTGGACACTGCAGTGATACTGGAGCTTCCAGTTGAGTAAGCAGTGTCAAGACCAGGTGGCTGGAAATTTTGAACAAGTACAGTACTTCAGACATTTAAACTGTACTGATTCTACTTACTGGAGGGGAAGGGAGAGGTAGAAAAATAATAATTTAAAAAACCCCATCACACACAGCTGAACTGGAAAAGGTAAAAAAAGTCTAAATTGCTCAATGCTAAACATATTACTGCTTATTCACTGGCACGAGGGACTAGACTGCATATAGTGAAAGCACAACTGGTAAAGCAGTAGCGATCTTGTCTGGTGCAGCTATTTCCTTTTCAATTTAGCTAGTGACATACTCCAAGCCTTACAGAGCTGGGTGGGTCCTAAAGTTATTGGGATCATACAAGCAAACAGGATAAGACAGACAATAGCGACATATCTGTGCCCAACACAAATGCAAAATAGCACACATTCCCCTGCCAGTGATGTACACATCAAAACAGGCCTACTCTCTCATATTCTTCCCACCATCTGTTAAAACCCTTTCATGTTCCAGCATCTCTTACCATCTGGATCACAGAGTTTCTTCAAAGCCCTGCACATCGGAGCTTTGATACGAAGGTTTCTGCCTTTGTAACGAACAGTCGTAGCCCTGGATACATTCAAAGAGAAGTATTTACAGGCACTATTAACAGAAGGTTGTGAACACTTACATATTAGGGACATAGAGTCAAATACAATCGTGGCTATAGGAATGAACAAAGAAATGCAAGGGTTTGCAGCGCAGATGCACGAGAGCATTCAATCTTTTCTAACACCTTACTTTTCATTACAGAAATGCCATTCTTGTGACCCTCCTCTTCCAGGCTTCATGGAATGCTTAGGAGGGGATTGCTGTTTCACACAGCAGACCAGAATTATGTTACTTTGGTTGAAGAGTACCCTTAGAGACAGCTTCTTCATAAAAGGTAAGTGGCTTTGCTTTAGTCTCTTCTTCATACTCCTAACTCTTAATTACGGGAAGAAAAAGTCTAAAGTTTTTGAAGAGTCTTCCCTTCTGGAATATCAACACCGCGTCTGTTACAGAAATGAGGTCTAACAGCTTGTGCAAGAATCTGAACGAAGAACTTTTACAGGATGATTTCACTGGCTTTTAGCTTCAATACCACATGAACAGCCATAAAGATCCTTAAAAGCAAGAGGCCATTTTTGGTTTCACGCAGTGGAACTATTTGATTTCTTCACTCAGCCAGGCCTGTTTTTTTTTAGAGATTTAAAAGGCAGGCATTGAGACCAACAGTACTTACTACCTAACCCTTCAAGCAGTAAGATTCAGCTAGCACAGAAGCAGCAGGATTGAACACAAGTCCTTGCAAGTAAAATGAAAGAAATTATGGAAAATATTACTACAGCAGGATCTGACTTTTTCCTATGCCGTAAGTGGAGAATCTCCACTTTTCTCCACGAGCCCAAACTTTGGTCTCAGCCAGCAGTCAGAAGCGGCAGCCTAGTATAAAAGCGCCTGGCTCAAAACCTGAAGGATTTGGAAGAACCTAGAGAATTTACAGCAAATAAAAACTCTAGATACATATTACATTTCTTTGTCCAGTGCTTATTATTATTTCCTCCAAGAACAGTAACTGAAAAAAGAGCTGAGGACTAAGAGTCTTCAACTTTTACTATTGCTCCTAGAAATCTCTCTTCCTGTTACGTAGTTTTACACTAAGTAACACACCCTCATGATTCACAACAAACACCCTTTAACTACAAGGAGTCAACGGAAGCTACATTTACTCTATTACCACTAATGCTGTTCATCACAGTAAGTAATGTTATAAAGCTCCTGTTGAGATGATAGGATGCACTGATGCACCCAACTGCTAGAAAATGCAAAGCCTGGGAATGTGATAGAATGGATGTATAGAAAATGATGCTGCTGCACGAACGTGCCACAATTATTGTCTTCCTTGTTCTTGCAAGGAGTTAATTACAGCATTACAGCAATCAGAACTGCTGCAATTATTTCCTTGCTTGATGTCGCCTCCTGTTCTAGTGGAAAACACAGTTTCATAACAGCCTCATACAAAACCCACAAAAGCCAGTGAAAGTACTTGAAACAGGTTGCTAAATTACAGATTTATCTTTTGACTACTTGCACAAGCTGAGACTCTCCTCCTGCATCTTGATTTTAGCTAATGCAACACCTTTCTGTCAAATGTGCCCTTGAAGTAGCTGCATGCAAGTGAAGAGCCAGAAATAGCATCACCATCATCATCATTATTTTTATTATTATTATTATTATTGTAACTTTGACAGTGTAAGGGTATAAGTGAGAAGGGGTTTGTGGGGAGAAACACTCATTCTTCTTAGATTAACTGATATGATTATATGTAACAGACAAGTTCTGTGGAATTGTTCCATCACATGACTCGAAGGTGACTGAAGGAGGGACTTGAATGCTCAAAAGGCTATTTGATACACTTAGAACATCTCTGATCAAGAAGAAGGAGGAAGAACAAAAGTGCTGCTGTTCATTTTTCGTATTTTCTATTTCTGTTAAAGAGCCTAACTCGTTGGTCATAAAGCATTTATTATTGAGTCAGGCTTCCTGGAAGTTGTTCCTCACTAATTAGTCTACCAACTGCTCACCACCTTGGCTTGGAGATACCCGCTATCCGTTACCGCTGCACAGCAGCACACAAATGAGCTATGGATCAGCATCATAAGCTCCTGGCTGCATCTGTATCTGCGCTTAAAAGGCAGAGAAGAGGGAAAAAAAACCCCCACCCACCAAAACCTAGGGTAAAAGCCAGAAAAGAAATGTGAAAAACGTAAGTATACAGAAAAGACAAAACCAAAAAACTAGGAGAAAAAAATCGTATTGGGGGAAAGAAAGTGCAAATGCAAAAAATTTGCAAATGCAAATCTGCTGATAGCCCTGAAACAGGAGCAGGAACTACTGTATTCCCCAAGCACTGAGTGAGAATGGCGTAGTTTAGGAGTTAGCAAGCAAAGTACACTGCTCAGTAAATGAAGGAACACACAACACAAACTTGACAAAATATTAAAAACTTCACACAATAGGTTTTGCCCTGGCACTACAGCATTCTTCCACAACTACAGCAATTCATACGTTTATTTTCATTGTTCCCTAAAATACCTTTTAGAAGCAGCATCCCAGCTCTCTAGATTCAGGTGTTCCACTTGGAGAATCAGGAATAATTCCCCTAATTCCCTTTTCCATAATATATAATGTGCTTCAAGCAATATAGGCAGAGTCTGACAATAAGTTATTCTTTGTACTACTATAAAATTAGACATATTTAGAGACTCTCGTTTCCTAACTGAAATCCATGGCTGGGAGGCTGGAAAAAGAATAGTTCTACTAATTTAAAAGAAAATAACAGTAAAAAGGAGACAGCCTGAAACACAAATACTCTTAGCTTAAAAATACTTATTTCCTTCTCTTCTCTTCCCTAGATCCTGGAGGTTTCCAAACACAGAAAACGGTAGATCCTAAAGAAAGCTATTCTACTGAACATGCGTTAAGAACTGCTGGTATAACTTGACACCAAGAGCATATTCTGTCCACTTAAAAAGATCGGTTTTGTACACAAATTTTTTCAGGATGAATTGCTATTTTATTATCAAGACTTTTAGGGTGTTACAAATCCCCCCTCAGCATGCCAAACAGCTTTTGCAAGGAGCACTGAAGGATCACTCCTGCTCCACGCAAAGCGCATCCAAAACTGACCCAGGCAGATCAATCAATACCTGTTAAAAGTTTCTGTCTTTCACACTCTCTTACTTGTGATATTAAGAACCTCCCAGGTTGGGGGGCAAAACCACATGTGCTAACAGGCAGCAAGTAGTTCTGTGCTTTAGCTGCTGCACGCTTACACTATTTCTTTAATTATGTGTTTGCTGTCATTTTTTATTACTCATCCACAAATCATACAGATTTACAAAGATAGCCAGAAAATATTTATATTTCCTCAAACGTAGTTTTTTTATTAAATGTAAGGATTGCTGCAAAACCTGAGTTAAAATAAAAATGTTTCACTCCTTAAGTGAAACAAAACAAAAAAACTTTGGTTTATTTAAATGGGTTCCTAAGCAGTTCTGATATACTGCCATAAATCTTTCTTTCTCATTATATAGCCTAATCACACAACCATTGGGTAATAAAAAAACCTAGCAACAAAGGACTGGACAGAAAGTGATTCGGATTCCCTACAATTTCCGAGGGAGCTTTGAAATAGCAGTTGATGAAGTTTTCAGGCACCATTTAGTATCTGTGACCTGGGTTATAAACTCAGCTAGGAAGACTTTAAATATGGCGTTCTTATGAGCACTTAACAGGGTCATTTGTTTTTTTCCACAGACCATGTAATTATTACAGAAATCCAGAGATGGTGTTTAACGGAAGCAAACTAAGCACTGAATTAGAATGTGTAGCTCTGGGGTCTAGAGTCATGCTACAAATAAATTGCCAGATAGCTCCTCACAATCTTAGCCTCTCTTGATCTTTCTTACCAACTACATGAGGCTAACTAACGTTCACTTCGTTCAGAGAAGATCATCAGAATAATGCATGTTCACATTCCCCATTTTTAACCACTTTGGATTTGCTTCCACTCAAGACTTTCATCACAGTGACAGGACTTACACTGCGCACTGCACTCGGGAAAAGGAGGAGTATCGCACTCGAAACAAACACATCAGGAATTGGGAAAGAGACACTGCTTACAAACAGAGAGGGGACCACAGAATTCTAACAGTACTGAGCAAGATGGAAAGCTGGGATATATATGCAACGGGATGGATGGATGGATATATGCGCAACGGGATGGATGGATGGATATATGCGCAACGGGATGGATATGCAACATGTTTGCTTGTGTGAGACAGGAGGCTGCCTGCATGTGCAGGGGATTAATTCAGATGGCGTATACATCCAGGTGGTAATGCAGATGAAAATGTGAACACTGTTTCCCCACACAGTTTGCTCCTCTTTGACTGACAATGTTTACCCACCAAGTGGGGTAAGCGATGCAGGAGAAAAAGAGAAGCGGAGATGTGCCCTCTACCTGGCAGACAAAAAGCCTGTGCAAGAGCAACTATTTCCAAACTGCCTAAGAAAATTAATATGTTCAATCTAGATTTTGGTAGAAGATTAGCATTAATATTTTCAAATGCAGACTCCTGTTTTCAAAACGGCTTTTATAGAATAAACACCTAGACTTCGTGTAAATCATTAGGCCTCATTAACAATTAATTAGAAGAACTAAATCCTTAATCATGCAAAGTGCTAGACTGACGCAGCAGCCTGATGAAAGTCATCAGTCTCATTACAGTTTACTCTATTTGGATGACACAGTGCTAGAAAGGCTCTCTGTTGCTACACAGAGAGACCAAAATGACTGCCTATATCCTGAACTCGAAGTATTCAGGGCACTAGGGAAAAAAGGCTCACCCCAGACCCATTTTAACTGATAACTCCAATTTAAGGAAGTAATTTGGTTTAAGAATCATTTTGTTATATGAAAAAAACTTACTGCTAAGATTTTCTTAATTGTACAAACCCCAAACCAAATGGCAATTTCTCTTCCAATTTCAAACTTCGCAGTTAATGAAAGAACGAACAAGTGATTTCATAAAGAATCACATACAAGACCTGCAACACAGCAGTACATTGAACAAAGTGCATCTCCCAGGAGATGAAAGGTTAATAAGCTCTAAGGAACTGATTTGGAAACTCAGTTTGTGAACAACAGAAAGGCACAACAAGCAGCACCATTTTATGCAAGGTAAAGTCAAAAAGTCAGCAGCTGCTGAGTGGGCAAACTCTTCCCTCCTGCTTACAGTAAAGTTTACTTCACCAATAATTTATCTACTAGATGTAAGCACCCTAAAAGCACAAATGCCACAAGTAAAAAGCGATCTGCAACAGACAGAAAGTCTTACTATTTTTACATTGCTTTTAAAAGACAAACAAATGCCTGCTTAATGATCACACTCCTTAAAATAATACCCTTTCAAAGAGATTTCACTTTAGAATACACAAATTCTAAAAGCAGGACCACTTCAGGAAATTTTACGTACTAATGTATCAGGTATTCCCTCATTTCTAATAGTACAGCAACTTCTAACCCCTTCTGTATTCTAAAAGTACGATGCCAAGACTGAATCCCCAAATCCCGTAATTCTTTCTTGAAGTGAAAGAGAATACTCATTCTTAAACTCAAGTAGATGCAGAAGTGACCGGAGGGCTGAGGCCTATGGTGTACTGGAAGGGTCGCTTCAGGTCTGAAAGCCAGGACTCGTGAGCACCGTTGGCAGAACTGTCTGGAGATGAACCACGTTCCCTCTGGTGAATCAACACAGTTACAATGCCGTAGCTTCTGCAAAGAATTCTCACTTCATTACCTTCTTGAACTTCACCCATCATTTCTTACCAATAACAATTAATGGCTTCATGGAAAAGGGGAGAAAAAAAACCCATACAGAACAAACTAAGAATGGAAAGTGTCAAACTGCAACTCTAACAAAGTAAGAAATGCCCCCTAGGCTTTGGATGACCAATCCAACAATCAAGCTGCTGAACAACCCAGTTCTAAGTGTTTCAGGACTAAGTTCTTACTTACCCAGCTTGAATGAGCTCGTTGAGTTTAGCTGCATTCTTGTCATCCATACCTTTACACGAAATAGGATAACACAGTGAATTAGGATTTAAAGTGATATAATCATGACCTTTTTTAGTGTCCTGTTTGGTTTTCAAAGCTATTACATTTTATTCTCACACAGGATTAATGTGCATAAACATGCTGTAACATCCTTTCTGAAAAGTTTCTATTTTCAAAATGTGCAAACTTTACACGATCCTTACCTACTGTATTTTACTCATAGATTAAATGACCCTAGTTTAGGTGCTACAGTCACCTTGGGTTCCTGGGCTTTCATATGACACTGTGGTATTAAAAAGAAAAGCTTCCTCATCTTCCTGCTCAATCTCTGTTGCTAAGGCAGCACAGCGTAATTAGAGAGCTTCAAGCCCTCACAGCACTGAATGCAACTTAAAAAAGTAAATAAAAATAATAAAATGCACACGTAGCCCACACTTTTCTTCTATGCATTATACAGCACATTTTTAAATGGACATTATGGTAGCTCAATTTATAATCCCTATGACAGTTAGGCCCAGGTCTATTTACTGCACAATTACCCTCCCTCTGACAATGCTGAAAGTATTCCTGACATGCTTTTGTGTCTCAATAGCTGTACATAAGTCATCTCAACTTCTGGTTAGATGGGACCGGGTGAATACCACAAATAAAGAAATAAAAAAAAAAAAAAAAAAAAAAAAAGGCCGGCCGACGATGCAGGCAGACGCTGCGGCCTCAAGAAAGGACGGCTAAGCGATTAAAAAAAAAAAAAAAAAAAAAGGCCGGCCGACGATGCAGGCAGACGCTGCGGCCTCAAGAAAGGACGGCTAAGCGATTAAAAAAAAAAAAAAAAAAAAAGGCCGGCCGACGATGCAGGCAGACGCTGCGGCCTCAAGAAAGGACGGCTAAGCGATTAAAAAAAAAAAAAAAAAAAAAGGCCGGCCGACGATGCAGGCAGACGCTGCGGCCTCAAGAAAGGACGGCTAAGCGATTAAAAAAAAAAAAAAAAAAAAAGGCCGGCCGACGATGCAGGCAGACGCTGCGGCCTCAAGAAAGGACGGCTAAGCGATTAAAAAAAAAAAAAAAAAAAAAGGCCGGCCGACGATGCAGGCAGACGCTGCGGCCTCAAGAAAGGACGGCTAAGCGATTAAAAAAAAAAAAAAAAAAAAAGGCCGGCCGACGATGCAGGCAGACGCTGCGGCCTCAAGAAAGGACGGCTAAGCGATTAAAAAAAAAAAAAAAAAAAAAGGCCGGCCGACGATGCAGGCAGACGCTGCGGCCTCAAGAAAGGACGGCTAAGCGATTAAAAAAAAAAAAAAAAAAAAAGGCCGGCCGACGATGCAGGCAGACGCTGCGGCCTCAAGAAAGGACGGCTAAGCGATTAAAAAAAAAAAAAAAAAAAAAGAAACTACTCCCAGCTGCAAAGCAGACCTCTCATAAACTGGGTGTAGAGGCTTGCAGCTTAAACCCATTTGGTCTTGGAGACTAGAATTTTCCAAGTGACAGTGGGTAAAATATGTAACCAAGTACCAAAGTTATAAAAAGACAGAAGCACAGAGTACGCGTGCATTGCCATGGTGACTGTGTGAAACCTTACTCCCAGTCAGAGCAAGGAGGGTCTGTTGATGCTTTCAAGACAAGACATGGATATAAGGAAGACACACTGATTTCTACTGACAATGCAGTCTGTCTTGCCTCTGCACCTTCTTTGTCATGAAACAGTTCAAAATTGCTTCTCCAAGATGAATTAACGCACTGGAGATCTTTGAAGAAACAAAATAAAGTCGGTATGAACATTCACAAGTCTTGTTCATGACACATTATAAATAAAAATCCCAGGTGAGGAAATAATATAGCAAAAAAAATCTGCCAAAATACCACAATTCTATTAGGAATTGTACATGTCCACTTATTAAAGCTTTCTTGTCTTTTGCACTTTGCAACTATCATGACTTTACAAAGAAGTATTTTGATGATTTTACATGTCTCAAACTAAACAAAATACGTAGAAGACGCACTATAACACTGACTCTACGAAAAGCTTGGGGACAAATGAAAAAACCCCACAGACAAGAAGGCAGACATGCACGGACTAGCGCAGGCAATGCATCTTCCCCTGCCTGTTCTCCACGCTAGCCACATTAGAGCTCTCTCTAGGCCAGAAGTCATAAAGACCATGCGAACTGTATCCTGGGCTGCATTCCCTGCAGCGTGGCCAGCGTTGAGGGAGGGGATTCTGCCCCTCTGCCCCATGCTGGTGAGGCTCCCCTGGAGCCCTGTGTCCAGCTCAGGGGTCCCCAGCACAGGACAGACAGGGACCTGCTGGAGCAGGGCCAGAGGCCACAAAAATGATCTGAGGGTGGAACCCCTCTGCTATGGGGACGGGCTGGGAGAGTTGGGGTGGTTCAGCCTGGAGAAGAGAAGGCTGCGGGGAGACCTGACTGCGGCCTTGCAGGGCTTAGAAGGGGCCTATATGAGAGATGCGGACAAACTTTAGCAGGGCTTGTAGCAATAGGACAAGGGGTAATGTTTTTAAACTAAAAGACTACATATAAGGCAGAATTTTCTTGTGCTGAGGGTGGTGAAACACTGGCACAGGTTGCCCAGAGAGGTGAGAGATGCCCCACCTCTGGAAACATTCAAGGTCAGGTTGGACAGGCTCTGAGCAACCTGATCTAGGTGGGGATGTCCCTGCTCACTGCATGGGGGTTGTACTAGATGACCTTTAAAGGTCCCTTCCACCTCAACAGAATCTTATGTTCTATGAACAGGGCGCTAAGCCTAAGCTCAGTATCTTGCTAATGCAACTAACCAACTTCCAGAAAATGGGGTAGCGTTGGTGTGGCATATACTCATCCTACACTCATCCTTACAGACAAAACCAGCCTCCAGGATTGACAAGGTCAGAATGCATCTTGGTTAGCCAATAAACTTGTTATTTCTGATATGATTTGCAATGTTTTTTTAATCTTCAGGGTTCAGTAAGTCAAGATTTAGAGACTCACTCAGAAAAAGGCACCATCCCAGATTTTGATTGCATAGGCAGAAATAATTGTGGGTGCAAATGGTACCGTTTACATATTTAATTGCTTAGTTTTCAGGAATAATAAAATAGATCATCTAAGCTGCATATACATTAACCTGTGTATACATTAACCCGTGGGTATTACATGCACTGCATTCCACAGTAGCTGAAGAAATCTTTCAAAGAAAAAGGGGACTAATGCAACAGACTAAGGAAGTCTTTAAAAATAAAAATACATTTAATGGTACCACAGATTACTGCAATAAAATAAAATGAACACAAATTCTGAATAACTCAGGAGTGAAACTACTAGACACTGCCAACTTCAAGGGTAGGCACTTCTGATTCTACCATATAAAAAATAATTTTAAGTCATTCATACTCACATCCCCCAATCTTTTTCCTTAGTTCCCCATAGCAGATTAAGCCATAAAGCTCCAGGGAGGATTTTTTCAGCCCTTGAGAAAACACTGAAAAGCAGAGAAGGGGTGAGTGAGATGCAGACTGAAGATATTCATACACAGCAACACTGCAGATACTAATTTCAACACTGAAGATGAGACGATTTGTATTTTCAACAGACACACACACCTCATCGAAGGTAAGACTAAGTTCTGTTTCCAGAAACACTATAATGAGACAGGTTCACCAATTTCCTTTTTGTGACTTAAACATCTGGGAAATGCAACATTTTTTAGATTACAGAAAACACAAAGCAACTTCCACAGAACTGAAATATGCAACAGTTCAACATGCAAAATAAAGCTAATGTGTAATAAAGCTAACTCTAGTATCATTTAACTGCTTATGATTTCTGAAGGAAGTGTCCAGATGCCACCAAGAAAATGCATACAGAACTCTTTCTTACATGAAAATTAAGAATTTTCTGAATTTTCCAGAAGACAGAGAATGTCTTCTGTGCACATGACTGCACCTCAGAGATTTAATGCAAATTCTAGATTCTAAATTTTTATATTAAGAATTGCACACCTTTTACTCAGCTTTACAAGTTTTTTATCTCCTTTCTCATCAACACACGTTATGTGGACATTATTATTGCTAATAGGTCTAAGTATCTACCACAGCAGGGAAAGACAGTCTTGTGGCTTACAAATCAGATGAAACTATTTTTTCTTGTCAATTCCTCAAGAATTCAGTTCTCCGACTTGCAGACTCATTTAATATCGAAATCCAGGCACATATATTTCTACCAATACTAAAGCTAATCAAACGACTCCACTAATTCTTAAATTCCTACAGCCCATGAGATTTCAGACCTTATAGGTATAGGTACAGAATTATATATTATCCAGAAAACAGGTGAAGTTCCTCCATTAAACCTTTTATTTTTTTCTTCAGTTCTTCCATACTGTGTTTGCTGTAACATTTGTTTTTAAATAAAATACTAA